GGGAATTGGTTGTAGCCTCGTAGGCTTTCATCAAATTCCATATAATTTATAGGTATATCGTATACTAACGAACAAGTTTTTTCCCAATATCTTGTTTCCCCGCTCCTTTTCTAAGTAAGTTGTCCTTACTTTTCACTAATTTATAGAAGAGAGAAGAAAAAAAAGATCGAAGTCGAAGAAGAAACAAAACCGTGAAAACAGTGGCGGCTGAGTGGCCATAGATTGCTTCTTGTACAAGCATCCATAAGTTTACATTACTTCTCCGCATGTACTATTTTTAGCATGAAAGAGGAAGAAGAAGATTGTAAAAAAAAAAGCATCACAAGACGAAGCAAAAACTGAAAAATTAAAGAAGAAGAAACGAAGAAGAAGAAAACAAAAAGAAAAAAGATATTTTAGGCCCTGCTGTTTGGGTAAGGGCCATCACAAAGAAGAGGAGGGGAGGAGGTAAGGGCCGTCACCGAGAATTGGGAGGGCAATTGAGATGGTAGATAGTGTTGACGGTAACGAAGTCGGTTGGTGGCCAGCTTATGGGGATGACAATTATCGACATAATTATGGGCCATTAGTGGCAAATAGCATTGATGATAATAAATTTGGTTGGAGGGCGAATAGTATTGACGACATCATATCACTCATAGTGTTAACGATAACAACTTTGGTTAGAGTGGAGAAAGTACTGACGACAACGTATAACAGATAGTGTTGACGACATCGTCCACGAGGAATTTGGTTGCAGTGGAAATAGTACATGCGACAACATGTAATATTATTAATATCTTTATTACGAGTGCCTTGGAACCTCCTTATTTAAGGATCTAAAGCATACTCACACTAGAAGTTTCTTCACTTCTCTGTGGACTTAATAGTGATTAGGTGCATCTTGACCACGTCGGAAAACCGATCATATACATTTGGGATTCAAAGTGCTCGTGTGAGTATGCATTCAATTTGGGCATTTAATTTATGCCTTTTTTTTTTTTTTTTTTTTTTTTTTTTTGCTCTTTTGTAGTAACCATCCTTCAGGCTCCTTTTTTTTTTTTTTGGGGATCGGTTAATATAATGAAGCAGAAGCAACAATCTCGGAGTGGTGTTGATGACAACGAATAATAAATGGCGGACAAGACTGTCATTCATTCATTCCGACAGTTCAGTCTATGTTACAGTCAACTCATCATTGTTAATTATCTTCCCTCGCTTACTTTGTCCACCCCTTCTAAATTACCCCTTCACTCTCCCACCACCTCTCTCCTCTTTATTTTCATAAGATTTTTTATTTTTATTTTTTAAACCGTTTTTTCCTAATCGCGGTACAACTGCATATGCCATTTCTCTCAAATTTAAATGGCTTCTGCAATGTCGTGGAACATATATTTTCATATTTTCTCTACCTTCCTATCACTACTTCTTAAGGTTATAGTGTGATATGCCAAGTTTCATACCATGTTGCTCCACGTTGACTTCAGATTAAACCTCGAAGTAGAAAATGGGATCCGTTTTGAATTTCAGAGGGTCATCTGCATGCATCTTTTGAATTCGCCCTTGTTCTTATCCAAAGTAGTATCGCGCAACCGCACATAAATTTCAAGAAACGATTGTGATTCTTGGTTGACGGTGAATTTTCTTTGAATCAGCATGTGTGTGCATGACCATTTTTGAATTCTTGCTTGCCACGCTAACTCGCCCCCCACCTTGTGCGTGCACACCAAATTCTTTTCTTGCCGTCCTTCGTCTTTGCGCACCTCTTCATCTTCCTTCAGACCCTTCCGATTCTGATCTCCCCCTTGTTCTTCGGTGTGGTTGATTAGCCGTCAATTGGGTTGGTCGGATCAAGCCGCAAGGCTTGAACAACCACCCCTAGTGAACAAAAATTTCGATTGTCCCGCCTTCTTAAATTTTTTGGAACCTCCTTCCTTCACTCCTTCTCATTTACACCCCTCGCTACCTGCATTGCATGTTGGTGCTCCGCCGCCGTCCATGCTATAAATTTGCACTGCGGCTTTCTCTCCACCTCTTTGATATCGGTTGCAATATTGTGCGAGCGATGCGCGAAGACTCCAGTGTCGAACATGGTCGACATACCCAAGGATTGGGCGTGGTGACAACGTGGGTACAATTAACGATAAACTCGGGGTAACACAGTTGAAGGGACAGACCAGTGGTGGAGACGGAAACGCTACCAACGCCAGGGCCTTTTGGCTATGGCTGGCTCGTGTTCAGCCGGGTTTTGTGGCCATGTGCCTGGAGTGCCGATATTGTTGTAATTTCGAATAGTGCGGGACTGACTTGTTCTCCATCGCTGCTTTGTGCATTTGTTGTGTACGTTAAAGACTACGTATGGATACTTAGTCATGTGCATGGCTTTGGTTCTGAGTGTCTATGGATGTTGAATGCGTTGCTGCCATAAAACCTATAGACGTGTGAGAATTGAAATCGAGTGGTGTCTTGAACTGTCTTCGTTTTGTGGCGCACTTAAGTGCGCGTCCGGAGCATTGGGTGTTGGATGTCTGTCTAAGTGCATAAGTATGCTGATACCCTTCCGCCTCTCTCAACTAACTATCGATCACTGCGCTTAGAGCATGTGCGGGATCACCCCAGACCTTTTTTTCCTCTGGTTGCGCAAGCGCCACGTGCCAACTTCTTCGCTCACCCGGTCGTAGGCGCAAGCGACCAAAGACATCAAGTGTGTTGGTTTATTTGCTCCACCCGACCTCTCTGCCGTCCAGCATCGCCGTTTTGTTAGGGTGACATTTGTGTTGGGTTCAACACAATTAGCAACTTACATTTCTTTCGTGGGATTGAGCGCAATGAGCGAGTACATCGAGTAGATACGTGTATGGGGTCAAGATTTGCCACTCAGAACGTGAGGGCAGACAAGTGCTTGTGCTCGAACCTTACATCGATCCGCCATAGCGACCTCCCTCCCTTTTTGATTGCAGACGAGGACGACATTTTTTGCGATGCAAACGTAAGAAGGACGCTATTGCGGACTGATCGGATTTACTTGTATAACTTGTCGAAGGCATGCCACATAGGGGAATCGAGGTTCGTTTTGATCAATCGATTTGATTCCCCGTCACTGATGTTTCTATGTGCTGATCTGACTGTGCTCCCATTGTCCGCGACATATGCCATGTGGAAGCCTCAGTTTAACTGTCGGTGCTGCCAGCTAGGAAACTCATGTTTTTGGCGAAGTTTGGTGTTGGGGTACGAAAGGTCTCCCCGGTTTCTTGATCTATACTGCAACACGGGGCCTCTCAACGGTGTTTTCGTTATAAGTGAAATTGTTTTCATGTTTATTTTTTTTTTTAACTGTAAAATGGCAGAATGAAATGAGAAAATTATAGACGAAATAACGACAAAGCAAAATAACGACAAAGCAAAATAACAACAAATCGAAATAACGACAAAGCAAAATAAGGACGAAACAATGTTCATAGCAATGCAAAATTGAAGGAACGACAAAACAATGAGGAAAAATTAATGTGACAGTCATGCTCCCGTGTTGCTTGTGCTCAAAATATAATACAATGTAAAGTTTTTACCTCGAATGTTTACACCCAGTAAACATGTCAATCTCATCAACAAAATATTAACTACGGACCGTAGCTTTAGTCGCACCTCATTGACTTTCGTATCTAACCATGGACAAAATGTCAAATGCTATTCTAAGCCTCATATCAGAAATGTTGGCTTGTGAGAAAGCAAATGGAGGGAAGTGACCTCTTGCAAGCAAAGATGCAAAACCTAACATAAAAACACCACAACTACAAGGATCCTCTTGAGCAGGAATCCCATCCACTGATGTATCAAAGGAGGATGTAGG